TTTGGAGATTGTCCAAGATCTATCCACCGAAGCCTTTCTACACGCCCTGCGACGTTTCGCAGCACGTCACGGATGGCCTACGACTATTATTTCAGATAATGGAACATCCTTTATTGGTGCTGAAAGCGAGCTGAGAAAGTTGATGAAAGAAGGAAGAAAGGAAATTGAAGATTTCGCAGTCACCCACAAGATAAAGTGGCGTTTCAACACGCCATTGAGTCCTCACCAGGGAGGAATGTTCGAAAGCATGGTGAAACAAACGAAGACTGCTTTGAAAGTTGTAGTTGGTCAACAAATTTTGTCCTGGAACGAGATGTCAACAGTGTTTGCGGAAGTCGAATGCTTAGTAAATAGTCGACCTCTTGGATACCCTTCCAATGATGCGAACGACCTGCAACCCCTGACTCCCAACCACTTCATCCTTGGTCGTGCAACAGCCGACATCCCGCAAGGTCCTTTTCGAGAAGCGAAAGCCTACCGAAAGCGATTCGAGTTTGTCCAGTCATTAGTCCAGCAGTTCTGGAGTCGGTTCCAGCGAGAATATCTCCAAACTCTGATACGAAGAACGAAGTGGCAACGTAAAGAACGGCAGTTCAAAGTCGGTGATATTATTCTGTTGGTTGATGATAATCTTCCCCGAGGGAAATGGAACATGGCGCGAGAGGTCGAGGTTTTCCCGGGAAAGACGGTATTATACGTAACGTGAAGGTAAAGACGAAGACGGGAGAGTACAAACGATCAGTACAGAAATGTTGTACAATATTGGAAGAAGATTCTTCCTGAGTGTGGCTCCGGAGGGTTGTTACGGACAGTACAGTGAAATGCTGACCTTAAAATATATTATTTCTTAATCCATTTATACAGTATTTATTAACTATTTCAATTTGATTATAACCTGATTTAACTCTGATTTGCATGCTGTAATATGATACAAAAGTGTTGACTGATAGTAACCGGACAGTGAACAATAATAGATAGCGAGTAAGTTTGCATAAGAAGTTTGTGTCTGTATGACAGGAGTGCGTGCTTTCAAGCTGTAGAGACCCACTCTTCAGGTATTTATTGATCATTTGTAATGTGTTTATCGTTTATTTTCCTAATGAAGTATTATTGAATGTAACCTAATCAAATCCAATCATTTTAGAATGTATTATTAAAATATATTACGAAAATCTCTACGGTGTTGAATCATGGTTTTGCCTATCGGAAACACACTCATTCAGACGTACCTACCATTCATTCAGATTATTTATTCAGAACGCGAATTTGGAATTGTTTGAAAATTCGACAGGTCCACTTATTCACACGAAAGGGATTCGTGGGAATTTGTCCATTTTCATTGTGTCCCCTGAGAAAAAGGCTCGGAATCGGTCCGGAATTCGTCTGGTCCCGTGTGAACGAGGCCTCATTCTTCACTAACATTTATTCTTATTCAATTCCAATATATTAGAAGACGTTAAGTATCATTCTGGATTTTTTATATCAAATATTTATTATTTAATTATATCCTCGCATACGATATTATAATCAACATGACACTAAGTCTACAATGACTACTACACTCTACAGTTATTATCCTAACTAAGTTTGGCATCGGTAAGATGCACATAACTAATCAAGCACCAGCACAATGATTACTGAAATCCTTAGTGAACCGATGGTACCATCCCCAATCGAGACTTGTCGCCCGTATGAAAACGGGGAAATTAACCTGTACTAAATAAGCGAAGCAGAAAGAAGAGGATAATCCAAGGGCCAGGAGAAACAAGAGGATGATTCGTATCGGGAAAAGACCTCGAATCGGTCTGGCTGTGGAACCCACATGAGTAGTTATCCTGCAGGTATAGCTTTGTCGAGTCAGCATTTTTTGGAGAGCAACAACCACGGGCAACAACCCGTGTCGATTAGTTCCCAGGTAGGCCGTGTGAGACCAATGCGCGCGCACGTTGACCGGAAACGAGTAGAAATGACTGTTGTGATTGGTTAATTCGTTTTATTGTGCGGATATGATGTATTGTTGAAATACTTAAATCATTAGCGAAGAGGTAAGAGGGAGTTATACTTGTAACTATGTTGTTACTTGTTTCTTTTGCTGCTTTGCTTTTTGGTGTTTGATGACAGTGGAAAAGTCAAAAGAAGAAAAAAAAATGACACACCTATTTAAACAAATATATGCGGATGAAGTTGCTTTTGAAGAACTTACTCGAAGTCAACTCATTGATCTAATCTTCACCTAGTTTACCCATAGAGAAATCATGGATAATAAAATAAATGGATAGGAAACTAGCTGACGTGACCTAATGTTTTTACTGAGATTGATGGCGTGGTTGGATGCCTCAACCTAGTTGAAAATCAAATTCTCAAAAACGGCATGTTTAGCAATAATACAGCTAAACATTTTAGTCAAAGAGCAAATAAATGTAACCACGCCATTCTACGATGAAGTATTCCCAGTCAATTTTAGCAAATATTTCAAGCACTAAACAGTGAAAAATACATCGCAAATTTCGTTAAAATTTGTGACGCCAATTTCGTAGCTACAAATGTAAAAAAATACAAAACAAAGACGAAAAACATTTACCTTGAATACTTTGTCGTGGCTTAGGCATGTTTTTAAACCAATTAGACCAGTTTACGCTTCAAGATCACCCTTTTAAAGTGGAAAATATAGCAAAACAACAAATATGCCGAGAACTTTGGTAACATTCGCAATACGCGTGACGTCACGTTTTTCAACAAGGATGCAGTCAATGACGTCAGAAGTTTCCAATCCATCTATTTTACAATCCATGGAGAAATTAAAGAATTAGAAAAACTTCAACAGTGTGCGTGTAAAATCCAGATCCTTGGTTAATATACCGGAATTGTTGTGAAATGTTGAGCGACGATGACCGATGGTTGACTTTTGCTGATCAGACCATGGATATGATTGATCGTGAACACATTTACTACATTTGGTATGTAAGAGTTAAATACCGAGAAGGAGGGCTTTATGCTATATACAGCCCCGAGAACGCGAAGCGTTCGAGGGCTTTATATAGCATAAAGCCCGACATTCGAGGTATTTAACTGACTTATTTCATGATTGAAGAAGTTTTCTAACAAAGTTTTATTCTTTTTTTTTCGATTTCGACAAGTATTTTTCTAGTTTTCTCCCTTATTTCTTGACTAATTAGGGCTTTATGGTATCCAAGGGCTTTATGGTAGATAAAGCCCGCGGTACATCAAAGAAAACCGAGTCAATCATGAAATAAGGGATTGTTAAAGCATGCAGGGTTTTAAAATATCCTGACCCTTCATCTGAGTGTAGATCATACTTTGAGCAGCTGTATTCCGTGTCATGTTTGGGACTATGTACAATGTACTTGGAAATGAAGAGAACTCCTAGCTTAGATTATCTAATGGACTATACAGGGTGTATAAAAAAAAACTGAACAGATTTAAAATTGCTCTCAATTTCGCAAAACAGCTATTTGTATCCGGTTTTTTATATATTTAGCCTCTTTGGGTACTTATAATGTAGAATAATGAGAAAAATTTCTCGAACTCAAATTTTGTGAACCAGGGGGGGGGGGTGTCTTTTCCAACAAACTAAAAATGGCTCGCGCACAAAATTTAAAAGCCGTGCAATCATATTTTGAGTTAACAGATGGAAAATTTGTCGGGATTTTAATTACTGTACAAAATTTCAGACAATTTGGTTTAGTTTAAGCCCCTTAACTATTCACGCAAAGTTACAATTTTCCCGAAAAATCAGCTATTTGCATGCTTATAATTAAGCATATGTCAGCAATATGCAAATTAGGTAAAGGCATTAATTAAGCATGCGAAAGGCTGACTAAACTAAACCAAATTGTCTGAAATTTTTACAGTAATTAACTCTTTCTCGACATGTGACATTTTTCACGGCAAGCAATATTTTGATTCAACTGTTTTATAACGTAAATATTTCAGTGCGTATTCACCCCCCTTAAAAACAAAGGACACCATTGGAATCTTAACAAAATAAGCTTTTCATCGGGGGGTCTCATGCCGTCAAAACAAATACACAAACCGAAACAATCATATATTTACTCACCGCTTGGCCAAACATTCTGTATTTTCATATGGAGAAAATGTTGAATATTTTCTAAACTCTTCAGTATTCGCCGCAAGTTAATGTTAGTGAAATATTCCTTGTATTCAAGCGCTTTTATGTAGAAAGTTTCGTTTGAATACGGCGAGTAGAAATGTTTATTTTGTTTTTTTTCAAAATATCGGGTTTCATCGGGTTTTTACTCGCACGCGCGTGCTGCACGTAAAATTGGCCAATAAGGGGTCTCCCGTAGCCCAGTGCACGTGAAAAGCACGCTTCAGATGTAATTTGACCTTTAGAATCGATTTCCGATGTTTTCCGAACGCTAGGATGTAAACACGCGATGTTTTGGCAGATCTAAAATGTATTTCCGGTTAAAATATCCCGCTGATTTCATTAGTTTCGCAACAGATTGAAATACCGAAATAAAAGACGAAAAACTAAGGCTACAAGCTTGAAAATAACACTTTCAATAGTGTTTTTGATTCTGTTTCGAATAAGACTATAGCGAAAACGATATCTCAAAAGGGGCCGAAGTTATGTTCGGCAAAAGTTATTGATAGTTTACATTGTTCGAGACAATTGATTAATATAATGAAATATGACACCGCTTGACCTGTCGAAAGGTCATGAATTGTTATACAATTTCACTAAAATTATATTTGACTAAAACTATCGACAGGTATAGGAGATATTGTTTCACTGAATCGAATGGTGGTATTTTCATCTACATAGCATGCACCCAACTGACGATATGACCCTGCAAAGTCGTAAATCATGAGTGATTTACTTAATAGGGACCTGTCGGGAAAGAGTACACCCGACAAATTTTCAATCTATTAACTCAAAATATGATTACAGCTTTTAAATTTTGTGCGCGAGCCATTTTTAGTTTGTTGGAAAAGACCCCCCCCCCCTGGTTCACAAAATTTGAGTTCGAGAAATTTTTTTCATTATTTTACATTATAAGTACCCAAAGAAGCTATATATATATAAAAAACCAGATACAAATAGGTGTTTTGCGAAATGAGAGCAATTTCAAATCTGTTCAGTTTTTTTTTATACACCCTGTATAATTTGTGTTTGTAAATTAAAGTACAAGTCAACTGTGTAATTTATTGTTTGTTTTGTAATAAAATGCTTTAAACTTTATAAGTTGTCTTCATTTTTTCCTTGCATTGCTGTTCAGCAATACGTCTTTCAAATGGGGGTCTTGTTGTAGTAAAAGTGATAAAACTAAGGGGGACAAGAATCATAATCGACCGATAATGTTTCGTCTCGGAATTAGCTTTGGCCGTAATGATTTAAATCTGGAAGGGCATTTACAAATGGGATATAATAGTAAGACAATTAAAAGCTATGGACCCATTGAAAAGCTGGCGGTATGTAATGATTCGGAACTAATGTCAGTAAAAGATTTGAAAACAGACGAATCTGAAAATTTATAATACGCAGGGTACAATGTAGGTTTTTTCATTATAACAAAAGTGTGCCTGTAACAACAAGCAATTAAAATGAGTAATATGGATAAATATTTGAACAGTGCATATTTTGATCCCAAGCGCCCTGGTAGTTTTGGAGGTGTCGAATCTTTGTATCGTGACGTGAAAGATGAGGGGAAAATCAAACTAAGTCGAAAGGAAATTCGAAAATGGTTAATGAACCATGATATCTATACTTTGCATAAACCAGCTCATCGAAACTTTAAGAGGAATCGTGTTATTGTAGGAGGTATAGACGAAGAATGGCAAACAGTGGATTTAGCAGATATACAGTATTTTCTATGTATGCGTGGAAGAAGTATGCGTGCGAGAAGTATGCGTGGATAGTTCCAATCAAGTCGAAAACAGGATCTGCTTTAGTCGAAGCGTTTAAAGTCATTCTCTCGTCTGGTAGGAAACCTCAAAAGATCTACCCTGGAACCAGAGGGTATTTATTTTCGCCTGTTTTGAATAACCCTCTGGTGAAATTGGCTGGGTTTTTGGGGTCACATTCCACACATAACTTTCAAAATTGGAACCTAGAAGTTGATTGGTTGCTGACTATAGGTTCGATAGACTACGTGTTCTGATTGGATATTGTAAACTCATAGCCTGTTCGCAGGCGTTTCGTGTTTTGATTGAATTGAAACATTTGAATTTTGAAATGTCTATATTATTAAATAAACGAACAAAAGTTGAAAGAAGCTGTTTTATAGGCTGCATTAATAGATAGATTGATAAATTTCCTGAATTAAAAATTTAACGGAGCATCAATACCGCGCCTTGTCCAATTTGATTCACATTAAAGATGTATTTGCATCTTGCTATCGGTTATGGGAAGAGTTTAATATTCCAAAGTTCTAACACCGAGAGTAGCACGACGACTTGGAAAAAGCCACAATTTTCTGGAGAAACCCATCTTAATAGTCATTTGCAAATTGAACTCTTTCATTGACTCTCACGTCCGTGAACTAAGAAAGCGTGGATGCCGTGTTACTTCACTGTCAAACGAAGAGGACGAGAAAGCAATACTAGATGGAGAGTTTGCATTCGCATTTTGTAATCCCGAGTCTATTATTCGAAATGCGAAATGGAGAGGAATGATTTCAATCGTTTCATTTGAAATCTACAAGACAAATTTGCTTGCTTTTGTATTAACAGACAAAGTTCACGTCGGCCCAAAGAGGTGTGTTTAATAAATTTATAAAATACAGATTTTTTTATGTATATTGCAGGATTAAATTGAATGTATATTGCAAGATTAAAGTGAATGAATATAAATATATATTTATATTAAATTGAATAGATGTGATGTTTTAAATTGAATGAAATTTAGGAGAATGAATATTGCTACAAATGGGCAGGCATACACTAGACAGTAAACATGCGATAAAACCCTGTCTAGACGGCCTGGCGTCAAGGATAATGATTGGATAATATTTTTAGAATATGATGCATTAAGCAATTATACATTTTTTGCATTCTTTATCTGAACCAGGAATCGCCAACAAATTCACCAGAGGTTTTTCCTTTTTCTTCGCGCGTTTTCTCGCATTTCGCGTAAAAACCTCTGGACCAGGGTACAAAAGATCATGCTGA